GCCCCTTCTTTTTCCTTTTGTCCAGCTCCGCCTGTGTAGAGATCTCATTCTGCCACCTTACATCTTTCTCTAACTTTGTCCATTTTTTGACTGCTTCAAATATTTTCCCGCTTTACTTTCTCTTCCTGGGACACTCCCCCTTGATGTGCTCGATAGCTAGTCTTTCGGTGGTTTATTTTCTTTTCTCAATTGTCAACTTCCTCATTTTATATTACCCCAGCCTTAGCCTCCCCAACCCAGCGAGTCCTTTCTGCTCTTCAGCCGACTGACTGCCTGGGTTCTTCACTCCCACATGGAATCTTTGCCTGCTCACCCTTTTCATTTGCATTCCTGACATCCGTGCTCCTCTTTCTGAAGATACTGTCCTTATTACAAAAACGAGTGTCTCCTTCTCCTGTGCTCACTGCCTCTCTTGGGCCACAGACTGTTCTTTGGCTGCCCTTTTGCTCTCAAAATTGTGCTCCTAGGATCTCTGCTTCCAGACTGTGGTGGCTCATCCTGGTGGATCAGCAGCCTTTATTTTGCTTTCCACTGGGAGGGGCCCCTTCTCTAGACCCGGCTCCAGCTCAGTTGGCTTTTCAGGGTGGAAAGTTTCAGGTCAGGGAGCCTGGAAGGGACATCACCTGAGCTCCACCTCTCTCTGGGTCCCCTGAGGCTGGTCTGGCCCCTCCAGAACTTCCCTGTGCCTTGTGGCAGGTGTTGCTCTTCCCGGTAGACCAGGTGAGCTGCCCAGCCCCAGAAGAGGCGGGGGTGGCAGGGACAAGTCTCAGGAACCTGTCGGCTTACACAGGCACATGTGGCTATTGGGTGTTCATTCCTGCCAAGTTTCCTGGCTTCCTGCACTGCTATCCAGACTTCTCTGCCCTGCAGCAGAACCGCCAGGTAAGGACCTTCTCAGGGCAAGAAGCCGGAGCACAATGAGAAAGCTCTGTGTCTGCTTCGTGTCCTGCACTTTCTGCATGGAGGCGGGTGGCCCTTTCTTTGCCGAGATATCCTGGGTGGTGATCAGAGCACTGGTGTCCTTGTCAGGACCTGGATGTCACCAGCAGCTGGTCTTTTATGTCCATTTGTCTTGGTAGTTCTTGCCCTGGTGGTTCTGTGGGAAGGACCGATGGATGGGTGGATGAGAGTCAAATATCAGGAAACATGGATGAGACACCTCCGGCTTGTAGGACCCTTGGCCAAGTGATAGGCTTCATCACAGCAGTCTCTGGGTTTTGATTGACATGGCACGGGCCCCAGTGGAGTCGTCACACTGGCCAGGAACCAGCCTGGCTGCGCTTTGCCCCGGGGCGTGCCAGAACACCTTCACTCCTCCCTGCCCGGCTCACAGTTCCATTGAGCACCGTTTCTTTCTGCTTCCCCTCCCAGGGCACCGAGAGCTTCTGAGTCAGGGGATAACTCTTGTGAAGGCTCTGGAAAGAGTGCTCACCCAACAGACATGGGCCCGGCTTTCCAGATGCAGCTGTGTGTGTTTTTTTAATTAAAAATTTTTTTTTTCTTTTTGGGTCACACCCGGCCATGCACCGGGGTGTCTCCTGGCTCTGCACTCAGGAATTACTCCTGGCGGTGTTAGGGGACCATATGGAATGCTGGGAATTGAACTCACGTTGGCCGCGTGCAAGGCAAATGCCCTCCTCACTGTGCTATTGCTCCAGCCCCAGGTTGGTCCAGTCGCTTTGTCCCCCCAGGGCCTCCCTCTGGCCTTGGAGAAGGCCACTGTGTTCGCTTCTGGCTCCTGTCATGCCAGGAAGTTTGCTTTTTTTAAAATTTTTTATTAGTGAATCACCATGAGGTACAGTTACAGTCTTGCACAATTTCGTGCTTGTGTTTCAATCATACAATGGTCCATCCCTCCACCAGTGCTCATTTTGCCAGGAAGTTTTTGACCAAAGCAACTGGTCTCAAGCATTAAATATGTTTGCCTTATTGCCTGGTCAGGTGCTCAGTGTTGATCACAAAACAGGCGAATCATTCTTGAGCGTCTGGGCCAGGTTCCCTTCACGATAAAGCCGTTCCCGCCACTCTCTCAAGAGCAATACTTCTTCCAGGTGAGATGTTGCTTTATTCCTTCCAGGAAAGAAACCTGTGCTAGCCATGTGGACTTGGGCTGAAGAAGGAGCTACAGAACTCAATCCACCATTGACCATTCCGAGACCGTGTGAGACCAGGTTGAACCACGGGAGGTGCCTGCCTGATCTCTGGGGGGTTCCAGAGACATAAGTTCTCTAGATTCCAAAATTTCTAGGATCAGGAGAGTTCCCCATCTTCCTTCCCTCCCCTGATCTGGGCAGTTTTTAGGGATCTTCATCTCTATCTCCTGCTGGACAGGACAGGTTCAGATGGCCAGTTGGTGTCACTCAATTCTATGTCTTCCAGTTTTCCAGGGATCTCATTCCATCAAGGTTCCTCTCCTTCTCTGCTTTGCCTTCAAACTTGTCCTCACCTCTGGCCTTTTTTGCCCCTGCAGAGTCTGTGCCTGTTCAGATCTCACTGCAAAATCGTGCTGGGGTGGAGCAACAGGACAGCAACAGGGCACTCGTCCTATATGTAGCCAACCTGGGCTCAACCCACAGCACCATATATGGTTCCCTTAGCCCACAAAGAATGAGCTCTGAGCACAGCTGGGTGTGGCCCCAAATCAAACCCAAACCAACAAAATCTTCATGCCACATACCCTTCTTCCCCTGGGGAGCACCAGCCTCCTTCCCCTGGGGAGCATCAGCGTGTCTCTGTACTCTGAGGAACCCTCTGTGTAGGCTGTTCTGTTCCGGAGCCCTTCCACACTTTGAGGTATATATAACACATTGACCCGTGTGTTTGTGTGTGTGTGTGTGTGTCCGTCCTCCTGGAGGATCTCAACTGGTGTTTTAAACCTATTTATAAACTCCAGCTGTTCTGAGTTTTACATGTTCAAGAATACAAAAGGTGTCATTTTAGGGAATGGGGCTGTGATCAGGGGTTATTCCCAGCTCAGTGCTCAGGAGTGGCCCCCAGTGGTGCTCAGGGGACCCTCTGCAGCGCTGGGGATTGAACAAGGTCACAAATGAAGCCGCTGCATGCAAGGCAAGCACTTCACTTCCTGTATTCTCTCTCTACTCAAAAGGTTTTGAGATATTGTTACTAAATTTAAATAGAGAATATGTAATAAAATAGTTGTAGTGAATTTTAAGGAATCCAGCTATAGATTCTTATTTTTGCTTTTTTTAAAAATTTTTATTTTTTAAAGACCATTGCTCTTGGTGGTGGGAAATGGGCACTGGTGGAGGGATGGGCATTTGATCATTGTATAATTGAAACCCAAGCACAAAAATTTGTAAGTCTACAACTGTACCTCATATGTCTCACTAATAAAAAAAAAACCAATGCTCACAGGTTTTTTGTTTATTTAGTTTTGGGGTCACCTCTAGTGGTGCTCAGGACTTACTCCTGGCTCTGCATTCAGGGATCACTCCTAGCCTGGCTTGTGGGACCCTATGTGATTCAGAGGATCGACCCGGGTCAACTGTGTGTAAGGCAAAAGTCCTACTGGCTGTACTGTCCCTCTAATCTTGGAATCCTGGTTTTTAAGAAAAAGCTTTAATGTGTATTATTATTATTATTATTATTATATTATTATTTGGCTAAGCATGTGTTTTTATCTTGAGAAGCTAGTTTTCATGAGATTCTGTTGTAAAAGGCTGATTTGGAGGTTTTCAATGTACATCACTGAATGCATGTCTAAATTTGTTTGACAGAGAGTTGTAGTATAGCAGGATATTACTATGGAAACAGTTCCTGGCTTACTATGGTTGGTTTAGGGGTTTCCCACTTTTCTGTGGTACTGAAGCATGCGTACTCAGTAGAAACAGGACCTCTCATTTGGGCTGCGGATCTATTTCCAGGTGATCAGTATGCCATGATCCTGGTGGTTCTCCATGGTGAGGGTGATCAGCAGATATCCAGGTGGCCTGTATTGGGCAGTGGTTAGGGTATTGTGTTTTTACATCCTGCTCTGTCTACAAAACATTCATCAATGTGGAGACTAGTCAACACTTAGTTATAGAATTGCTTTTGTGTTAGATGACTTTGCCCAACTATTGGGTCCTGTATATGTTCTCAGCACAACTAAGAAAGGCTTGGCCAAGCTATGATATCTGATGGTTAAGTGTATAAAATACATTCTCAATTCGCGTGTGATATTTTCAACATACTATGAGTATACCAAGACATTTAACCTAATATAAGTTGATGGAGGGCTAAAGCTTCCTTTGAGTCAGGATTTCATTGGTGTGAAACGCATTTTGAGGGGCTAGAGAGACAGGAGGGTGGGTAGAGTATTTACCTTGCAAGCATCCAACCCAGGTTGAATCCCCAACTCCCTATCTGTTCCCCTGAACACTGCCAGGAGTGATCTCTGAGCACAGAGATGGGAGTCATCCCAGAGCACAGCGGGGTACAACCCCCAAACCAAAAACAAATGTTATTTTGATCATACATATAATGTTTCCCCTCAAGAACTTAAGAACACAAGTTATTCTTGCTTTAGGAAAACTGAGCCAGATATGTATTATTTAATTTTCTTTTTCTTTTTGGGTCGCACCCGGAGATGTGTAGGGGTTACTCCTAGCAGTGCTCAAGGGACCATACGGGATGCTGGGAATGGAGCCCCGATTGGCTGTGTGCAAGTCAAATGCCCTACCTGCTGTGCTATCACTCCAGCCCCTGAGCCAGTTATTAATTCCCATTTCCTTCACACTGAATACAAGCTATGCTTTCATCTCTGTATTTAGACCCACCATGGCCTGAGGGAGGTGATGTTAGCCCCTTCAGAGAGAAGGTCATGGAAGCACAGAGATGCCCACTTGCTTGTTCACAGCTGAGTGGAACGGACCAGCCTCTGGAGGCCGCTGGCTCTGCAGCCCAACTCCTGTGTCAGGCCCTGGGAAGGGTGTGGGGAGAAAGTGATGAGGAAGACCATGATGTCCCACAGGCCATAGGGAAGTCAAGCTGCTACTCACCAGCCGCGCACAGGTCCGTGAGGGGAATCCGGGTGGGTGGGGAAGTGCCTTTGGAGTTCTTGGCGGACACCGTCACCGCCCAGTGCCCAGTTCTGGGAATGATGGTGCTCCAGGAGGAGTGCTCTGTGGTGCTCTCTTGGGGGGCCTCCTCCCCTGACTCTTCCTGCAAGGTCACCCCATAGTGGAGGATTTTGCCTCTGGCCTCGGCCATGCTCAGGTTCTGCAACAAAGTATAGCACATTTACTGGGATTCCTCAACCAGGTGGACGGAGGCTCTTGGCCACACCATCTCCTGGATGAGCAGGGGATGCCCGATTTATAGCTGCTCATCACCTCCACTGCCCACCCCTGTCATGGAGGGAGCAAAGCCGTCTGACACTGTTAGAAGGGTTTTTTTTTTTTTCTGTTTGGGTCACACCGAATGATGCACAGGGGTTACTCCTGGTTCTGCACTCAGGAATTACTCCTGCCATTTTGTTATTTAGGGGAAATGGGAGCTCAGATAGAGAAGGGCGCACCAAATAAAGAATGTTGAGAGGATCCTCCCAGGATGGGAGAAGCATGCTGAAAGTAGACTATGGACCAAACATGATTGCCACTCAATGCCTCTTTTGCAAACCACAACACCCAAAAGGAGAGAGAGAACAGAGGGGAATGCCCTGCCACAGAGGCAGGTTGGGATCGGGGGATGGGGGATGGGAGGGATACTGGGATCCGTGGTGGTGGGAAATGGGCACTGGTGGAGGGATGGGTATTTGATCATTGTATAACTGAAACCCAAGCACAAAATTTGTAAGTCTACAACTGTACCTCATGGTGTCTCATTAATAAAAAATTTTTTAAAAAAACTTAAAAAAAAAAAAAGGAATTACTCCTAGAAGTGCTTGGGGGACCATACGGGATGCTGGGAATCGAACCTGAGTCGGTCATGTACAAGGCAAATGCCCTACCCGCTGTGTTATCACTCCAGTCCCTCTGTTAGAAGGTCTGATGCTGAAATGCACACTTGTTTTTCTTCTTTGCTTCAAAAGAGGAGAAAAATGCAATCATACCCAAAGGAACAAGAAGGGGCTGGGTGCACAGCTTCTGGGCTGCGATTCCAGCCTTATCACTCACCAGCCCTGGGGCCTAGGACTGGACATGCAGCATCAAGGTCTTCTTTCCCAACTTCTCTCTCTCTCTCTCTCTCTCTCTCTCTCTCTCTCTCTCTCTCTCTCTCTCTCACACACACACACACACACACACACACACACACCATGTGTAATTTTTATATAAGAAGTGCCAGGTTGGTCATGAAACCAACCAGATTTTCTTATTTTTAGCTTGTGGGCCATACTCAGCAGTGCTCAGGCCTTACTCCTGGCTCTGTGCTCAGAGATCATTCATTCCTAGCGGTGCTCAGGGACCATATGGGTTGCAGGAGTCGAACCTAGGTCAGCCATGGGCAAAGAGAGCACCCGACATGCTGTACCATCACTCTAGTCCTGAAACCGACAAGATTTTCAAGAGCAAAACTAGTAACATCTGAACTTGGTGAGTTGGATTCTCCATCTGTGCGAGGAAACGAAAATAAGTTCTAAGTGTGTGACGAACTTTTAGAGTGGCAAAAATTCCAATTGAGATCCCATTTGGAAGACATCCCAGAAAGTAAGCAGAAAACGAATTATTTGTATTGTAACCCTGATTGGACCAGGACCATGAGAAAGAGATGTATTGAGAATGGAGGGACGCCAAGGCAAGCGTTGGCTCTGCCTTTGCAGGGAAGGAATCAGCTGACTCGCGGATTCAAGATTACACTTTACTTGGCAAGACTTTCCCTTCCACGGGGTGTGGGGTGGCCTCGAGCCACGGACTGGAAGACACACCTCAGAGTCAGCAAATGCCCTCTGTCTGGCTTCTGCTCCCAGAGGAATGGCCTAATAATTTGGTTTCCTGGGCTGTTTATCTGCCGGGAGAAGCTGACACAAACATCTGGTTCCCGTAAATTTTGTAATTTTCACTCTAAGTGAATAAATTGGCCTCGTGATTATAATCTGGCTTCTGAAATAATTAGCATTCTGGGAGAGAACGTTTCCCCGTTTGCTGATTCAAACTTTCTGGTGGTCCAAACAGCTGCATTTCTCATGGGGCTTTTTATAGTTCAGCCTGGAGCTTCATCAACTGGGGCTCTGTCCTAGGCGCCCTCCAGATCCTCGAGGCCTAGATCCTGACCTGACGTGGGGACATGTCAGCCTCTCTCTCTCCAGACAACCCCAGGCCCTGGCAAGAACCAAGCTTAAAATTTCCAACGGCCACCACAGCCCATCTTGCAAGTCTGTTCTGGGCATTGAAATGAGAACTTTTAGAAGTTGTGATGGCCTGAACTGCTATTGATAAACATGCCCTTTGTTACTGGGCAAACAGCAGACAAATTAAAGCCAAGGTTGAGGGAAGGCTACTCCTATAGCTTCCTCTTTCTCTATCCTTCCCTGTCAATCCAATAGGACAATGACTGTACCCCAATTATTGGAAGGCTTCCCCCAAACGTTAGTTTGAGTACTCCATCCTTGCCAAGGGCCATTCACCTCACTCTAACAGCTAAGCAAATGACCCCTGTGAGAAGAAACACCTGGATAACCAAACTGCTAACTTCCTTCTCATTGTCCTTCAGAGCTTCATCAGCCTCCCTCAATCCAGGGATAAAGTGATGAGAGAAAGTCTACGTATCGATCTGGGGGAGAAGGCAGCTGGAATAGAGAAGGGATCACTAAGTCTGTGATGGTTGGCAGGATCTCTCCGAGTGAGAGATGTGTGCTGAAAGTAGATAAAGGACTAAACATGGTAACCTCTCAGTATCTATACTGCAAAGTCTAATGCCCCAAAGTAGAGAGAGAGTATGGGGGAAATTGTCTGCCATAGAGGCAGGGGGAGGGTTGGAATGGGGGTTGAGGGATACTGGGGGAAAAAGTCAAAGAAAAAAAAAAGAAAGATTAAGCATCAAGTCATGACTGGGATCCAGCAAGCATGCCCACTGATTGCTGTGGAAACCTAGCAGTTAACAAGCGTCACACAAATAAAGTCACGTCTCTGAATGCCAGGTGAAAGATCCCAGCAGGACAAGAAGAGCCTGGCCCCACCCAGGCTCTGGCATTGTTCCCACCCTGCCACATCATTTAGAGTTGAAAATACCAATGAGCAAGTATGGCGAGGTCATCAGAACAATCCGTATGCTATTCCACAAGTTAAACTTGTAGCCACATGTCAAGCTCAGCGTTTAGGGATCAGTGCTCACACCCCTGACACAGTGCTTCCTTAACCAAGTTATAAAACGTATTTAGCTAGTACAACAGGGTCGATGGGACAAAAGAGTTCAAGGAGCCAACAAGGAAATAGGTATTTTTAGTCCATTGGATACTTAGTGTCTGGAAGCAAATAAAGATGGTTTATAGTCAGGGAGTCATGTCACAAGAGGGAGCTGATAATCTACTGAAAATTTTGGTATGCGGGTTTTGTGCCTGAAATCTCCAGGCTATCTCAGGGTTGGGATAGGATACCTCCCCCCATGTCCCTGTACTTCCGGATGCCTCAGCAGTCATATTCACACCCCAAAGCTTCCACCCAAAAAAAGCTATTCCAGCCCTACTGTCCCAATAAAAATACTGAATGACCTGAACAAACACCATGACCTCTTAGTACTGGTATTACAAACCATAATGCATAAAAGGAAAAAAAGAAGAGAAAGCAAGAAGAAAAGTGCCTCCCATAGAGGAAGGCTGGGGGTGGGGGTTGTGGGGTTGGGGAATGGTTGTGGGAAATGTACACCGGTGGAGGAACGGGTGCTGGATGATTGTATGACTGAAACCCAATTATGTAATGGTCTATCTCACGGATACCGAATTTAAAAAAATCAAACAACAACATAAAACCCAGCTCTTGGAAGCGCACCGCATTTGTGGCTGCATGACATCTTATTATCTCATTCTTGCTTTGGACAACCTGGCAGGTTACCGAATGTTACCTGCCCACACGGTAGAGTCTGGCAAACGCCCCTTGGCGTACCCAATATGCCAAATACCACTAACAATGATGGGTCTCATTCTACTCATTCTCCTAACCCCGAAAGAGCCTTGAATATGGCACTTTTTAAAATCTCAGGGCTAGGGTGAAGGAGACGTTATTGGTGCCTGCTCGAGGCAATCGACGAACAACAGGATGATTGCGATCATGATCATGAAACAACAACATCAGCAACAAAATAAACAAGAGGGATCTGTCCCCAGATGTACGCTGTTTGGTGGCTTGTCTTTGTGGGAACACCGAGGAGTTTAATGACACAAATCACATGGTATAGCGGATTGTGCCCACGGGTTATGTGGTCACTGCCTAAAGGGACGGCCACGGTATGTGCAGCTTGTAGTGAACCGAAAAGTCAGTAATACATAGCTCAAATCAGTTTACTTAAACAGAACAATGGACACCAGGACCACCTATGGTATCACTATTGTAAACACATTCATTGAATTAGAAGCACTCTAGCATGGTAGCACTGTCCTCCTGTTGTTCATCAATTTGCTTGAGCAGGCACCAGTAACGTCTCCATTGTAAGACTTGCTGTTACTGTTTTTGGCATATCAAATATGCCACGGGGAGCTTGCCAGGCTCTGCTGTGTGGGCGGGATACTCTTGGTAGCTTGCCAGGAGAGGGGCAGAGGAATCGAACCTGGGTTGGCCGCATGCAAGGCAAATGCCCTACCTGCGGAGCTATCGCTCCAGCCAGAATTAGAAGAGATTTTAAAAATTAAAAAGAAATCATAGCAGGGCCAGAGTGACAGTACAGCGGGCAGGGCACTTGCCTTGCACACAGCCAGCATGGGTTTGATCCCCGGCACCCCAGATGGTCCCCCAGTCCCTGCCAGGAGTGATCCCTGAGTGCAGAGCAGGAATAAGCCCTGAGTACCACCGAGTTTGGCCCCCTAAATAGAACAGAACAAACAACAAAGAATATCAATACAGCATTCTCAAATAATGCCCTGTTTTGAAGGTGGAACTCCATATGGCAGCACTGACTTCTCTAATAGGGGGTGGGGGTGCCAGACATAATCTAGCACAGCATCAACAGCAGCCGTGAGGCCAGCGATCTGGGCAGGGTGGAGAGCCAGGACTGTTCCCTCTACCCTGAGCCCACGGAGGTAGGTGACCCGTGAGTCCTCCAAGCATGGCCCTAAGGAACAATGGGGGTCT